CCCCACAAAACTTCTCTTTAATGCATTACCAGTCATCATGTTTAAGTTTCCATTTATAAAGATGAATTATTCATTTGAATGCAGCGATTTAGCATCCTGCTTGTATGCAGGTAGGCTTGACTGTAAGCTCAATACGATGTTACAGAAATGTCACTGACCAACGATCTGTTGTTCTTTGAGGGGAAAGTTACCTCTGCAGCTTTGTGCTGCTTTCATGTGGTGTTGGAATAATCTGAAAAATTAGTGCCGATCACATTTAATGGCGCACTTGATCCGTGTCCTTTGCTTTTCGTTATCAACATGTTGTATAAACGCTCTAAGCAATGAAAAACAACGTACATCTTCTTTGTAGCGTCCATGTTGGTTCCACATTACAACTTAAAGCTCATGAACACACTGACGTAAAGAACGACCATCCAAGGAACATGTGAATTCACCATCGCCCTTGACTTGAGTCCAAGTTAATCGGTCTTGGCTTGTTCTTTCAGTGCCGTTGCTGCATTGCTTTCCACTCTGAGAAAATGGTTAATTCTGGTTCATTCAGTCAGTGTAGCTGTCAGGCTGTCTGTACTCGAGTCCTATTCAGTCAGTTCTCATTGACTCATCATAGCAGGTAGTGTGAGCAATACCCTATCATAAAAGCGAGTGGGCAGGTGAGAAAAGTTGGGGATTCATGAGCACTCGGCTGTTTGACAGACAGATCTGGTACATACCGGACACTAGGGGCGGGGTAGACATTCATTTCTTAGATGATGACCTAATCATCAAATCGTACCTCTTTGAATCAAATCGAACGGAATTGTGAGGTGCCTGGAGATTCCCACCACACACAAAAAAAGAGTTGTTCAAAAAGACTTGTTTGTTTATTTTTGTCCATTACAAGCAGGGTGGTTGCAGTTTGAAGAGCAGAGTGCAAGCAAACACGTCCATCTCACTGTAGCGTCATTGAATGATACACTGAACGTCTCCAAATGTGATGTTCTGTAGCTTTACCCTGTAGTTTTACCACTATAAAAAATAAGAGTTCATAAGTAGAAATTAGTAAATGATATTCTAATAAAGACAACAAGCACAACCCATATTTAACTGTTGCTGTTTGACTCATTACTCTTACTCCCTCCATGGGTTGGTGGCTATTGTCAGCCTGCTGCATATGATTATATACATGATTTCTGTCTACACTTCCCTTTATTGGTTTTAGGATCAGTGACAGCTCTGTCCAAATTGTTAATAATTAAATATCCTTTTTCAAACATCCTTTTTTTCCGTCTATAGTGCAGCTGTTGCTGAGCCACGGCGCTGACCCCAACCAGCGAGACAGTCTGGGGAATACCCCCCTCCATCTGGGTAAGAGACAGCAATTACCACGTCTAAAACCTGTAGCACTGTGGTCAGTGATGCATGTGACAGAGGTTTCACTCTGACTCACAGCTGTGCAGCTGTGTCAGCCTCACACCTGCTAACGTGAAGATCAACTTCAGAAAAACATAGAGAAGAATTTAAGTGATGTTTTTACATTCAGGTGTTTGTTTTAAAACCCTTTTATTCTTGTAATTTGTGTTGATGATTTGAACCTGTGTGTCTGCAGCGGCCTGTACCAACCATGTGCCTGTAATCACCACACTGCTGAGAGGAGGTGAGACCACTGTAGAGGGTTGAATTCTGTCTGTATACATGTGTCCCATTATAGTTAGCTGAAAATCAACAAGAGCAAAATGAACTTTATTCGTTTAAACACAATGTGTGATGAGCCTGTTGACCTGAAGGAGCGCATGTGAGGTCAAATGCATTAAGGAGGGTTATTTTTATTGACTAGCATGATTTAACATGCATGCTTCCAGACTGTACAGCACGGCTAACTTTACTCAGTGCCATTATCCTATGTTTTTGATAATGTGCTGTAATGTTGTCAGGCAGGGGTTTGCAGAGTAAGAGTAAGATCCTTTTTGTTTACCCAGAAACAGCCCCAAAATCTCCATCACCAAACCCACCAGACTCCATTTAAATAAAATGTAATTTAAGCATGTATGGAGCCAGCATATTTTCACATCTCTCTGGGTGAGTTAGGAGTTTATTTCAATCAAACCAGAGTTGGTGATTGTTGGAACAGTGGAAAGACGAATCAAGATGGTTTCTGTGAGTTTTATTTTGTTTCTGGCGACTTTGAATGAAGTGTGTTTTAAGATGATAAAATTACTGTTTCTTTAAATGGAGTCTGGTGTGCGTGGCGATGGCAATTTTGGGGCTGTTACTGGTTAAACAAAATGGTCTGGACATTTTTAGTCGAGATAAATTGTCAGTGAGAACATGCCCTGAGTGTCTCCATTGCAGCCTGGCCACTGCTCTGTCTCAATATTGGACAAATTAAATAAAAGTGTTGTTCCCATTCGTCATTTAGACACAAAAACATTAGAAAAAATGGTCTATGTTAAAAAAAATCTTTAACTCTGGATTTTTAAGTGTATTTGGTGTGCAGAAAGCTACACAGCAACTCTTCAGCATTGTAAAGAATGCTTTGTTTTCTCCCTCGACATAACAGGATGTGACATTTTGTGGGCGTTCCCTTAAATCCCAACTATCTATACCGACGCTGATCCTTTATTTAGAGTTAAGAAACTCTAAGTGTGATTGTTATTCAACTTTACTTAAGAAATTCATAGATATTATTTAATAAGCATGTGTAACGGAGAGGTTTGTGCGTTTATTGTTTCTGTACAGGAGCCCGTGTGGACGCCCTCGACCGAGCAGGCCGGACCCCTCTGCATCTAGCACGCTCCAAGCTTAATATTCTGCAGGAGGGAGATTCACGCAGCTTAGAAACTCTGAGAGGGGAAGTCACACAGGTAGAGGACACGTTCACGTTCCTGGTTTAGGCCCTGGATAGATACCAACGACTGCATTCTTTTAGAGCGGAAGTGTTGCTGAAGATGTTCATATCTGACTTTCCCTCACAGATCATTCAGATGCTGCGAGAATACCTGAACTTAATGGGTCAGAGTGAAGCTAAAGAGAGGCTGGAGCACATTTCAACACAGCTGCAGCACACGCGCACCAAAGAGCAGGTGAGACGTGCTGAAGGATTCTCACACTCACAGGCAGAAAAACATAAATCTATTGTGTCACTAATCTTAATATGTGTCTTTTTTTTAATAGATCTGCATGTATTGATTATTTATTTTATCATTTACGGTATCTATTCTTTCTCTTTTTTCTCAGGTGGATGAAGTAACAGATTTATTGGCCAGTTTTACATCTCTCAGTCTACAGAAACAGAATTTGGGAGATAGGTAGAAGATGAAGTTTATAGAGAGCTGAAGTCCTGCTAGTTTTTCAGAAAGCCTCTGCTCCTCTTGCTTAGGCCAGACAAGTAAATACTGAATCATAATGCTGTTTATTTTCTGTCCATGTTCCAAACTAAGTGTTTATCCGCAGCACTGCTGTACAGGACGTTTGAACACCTCGTCATTTTAGCGAAGATAACACAGTTATTCTTAGCGCCCTCTGATGTGTGGAAGGCCTCAGAGTTACTCTAATATTCATGAAATTTGAAATATATATTCCTCTTATCATTCTGGACAAATTTCAAACTGGGTTTCATTAGCTCTGCCCATCTCGACGTCAGCCATTTTGAATTTGGTGCATTTTTCCTGTTTTTGTGCAAACTCTTTTGAACTTCTCCTGCAGGGTTTATTGGATTCGTTTTGAATTTGTGTGGTGTAACCCTCCGACTAATATGATGCCAAATTTGCGAAGGAATAGCCGATAGCTCGAATTTTGTTAACATAGGTCATGTGAGAACACGCCATTGTAAGCACTTCACAGGCGTAAGACTTTGATACTTCTTCTGAAGGACTCAACAGATCTATGTCAAACTTTGGCAGCCGAATCTCTAGACCAGAACGATGCCAAGTTGTAAAGCATTTATGTTAACTTGACTGTGCATGGTCCAGTCTGCCGCAAATTTCACATGCTGGATACGAATCCAGGCCCAAGACAAAAAAGCTCTATTTCCATGGTATGAAATTGCCCAGGTGATTGGTGCAGGTTCCGCATCGTTAGGCCCATATAACGAGGGCACTACAATATTAAGGCCACCGAATGGCTGAGGGGCCAACTTCAGTTTAGCACCCGGTTTATTTAAATGGGGAAAAAATATTTTAATCATCCTAGATTTTTGACGCCGGGGACATACCGATGGAAGTTCATCGAAGTTCTTTGATTTCACCCGTGTATGAAGCGAGTCAGCACAAAATATTCTAGTGTTCAAACTTGTGTGAGTAACACGATGCAAATTTTGCACTGCGCATTCGGCAAGTCAATTACATGTACAGACACAATTAGACGCAATGGATGTGATCCAAAATATGCTAATTAAGCGACGCAAATGAAGCGAGTACCATGATTTTGGGGCTTACACTAAAGTCAAAACTTCAGCGACCAATTTGCATCATGATAGCTAGTCGGCATTGAAATCCTGTATGACACCGAGGATATACTGGCAGAAGTTATTCACGTGTATGAAGCGAGCCAACACAAGATATTATAGCCTTCAAACTCACGCGAGTGACGTGACGTGAAAATTTGCATCACGTTTGGTGTGAACACAACATGTATTGTCTGTTTTCAAAATACACTTCCGTTTTCACAGGAATTGTACAGTTTGCATACAGTCTCTTTTAAAATAAAAGCTCTATGTCAGTACATCAGCAAAAATTGACTTTTTTTCCAACAACACAGACACGTGGTTGGGTTTAGGAAAAAGAACAGGGTTTGGCTTTATAATCTTACGAGACATGAACGCTGCTCTCCCAGGTGAAAGTCTTGTTTGTTGGACCCATCCACCACCCTTACTTGACTTTCACTGCCTTAACTTTTGTTCTTGTCCCGCCGCGTTTCCCCCTGACGCCGCCTAGTGCTATTAAAATATAATGGCGACCAGCTGAGTATCATGCCAATGTTAAAGGACGACTTTTTCGGCAGTGTCTGACGCCGCAAGTTGCTGCCCAAGCGCTGGATTTGACGACTTTGGAGTGAGACTGGGTTGTCCATCATTAAAGACAGTCTATGGTCGACACAAAGTATGCATGGAGGTGTGAGGGCAGCGACGTTTACGTTTAAAATCGTCATATCAATTGTCGTAGGTGAAGAGAGTATAAATGAACCTTCAGACTAATATTTGAACTGTGCTGACAAAAATATTGTTATCTTGGTTAAAATGAGAAGATGCTCAGATGCTGCAGTGTAGTCGATATTCACTGAGCTCGTGGACAGAAACAGTATCACGTTCGCCTTTCAGAAGAAGGATAAAGGAAACCCCCCGAGGGAAATAATGTATTGTAATGTATTAGGAACAGGAAGCTGGTGGAACAGAAGCCGACCCAGAAGTGCAGCGGGATCTCAGCTCTCTATTTTGTGTGTGTGTGTGTGTGTGTGTGTGTGTGTGTGTGTGTGTCACGGCTGTGTTTATGTGCTGACATGTTCTCTCTGCCTGCTGTTATTAGCTCAGCTCTCTGATAATTATGAGACGTGTTTCTCATGAAATGATTCAAACAGTTTTCACTGTTGTATTTTCAGTTTTCTTATGAAGCATCTTTGTATCTCGTTGCCTTTTCTCTTGTACTGCATGTTCTGTATGTGTGTGAAACCGTACTGTAAAGATTGAGTTTGCTGTCAGTGGAAATGGATTTATGTGATTCAATAAATCAATATGTTTGGCTATACGTGTGAAATATTGTCTTTAAGAATCAGAATAAGGTTCATAACGACAGAGTGCTCGGTTGTATACTGATAATATATTGATATCTTGATACTGAAGTGGATATGGTCTTAGATTTTGGATATCATGTCGATGTATTTGGTCAAAATATTGTGACGTCAAAGAAATCACAAGAATAATGAAAAATAAAGTGAAGGCTGGGATTTCATTTCAAAGTACTGCAGCAGTCAAGAACAGTCAGAATCAGAAATACTTTATTGATTTCTGGGAGGAAATTGTGATACATTACAGTGATGGATGGAAAGCATTGAGAATAGACAAAAATATGGACATTATGCTACTATGTTTAACAAAATATGTACATAAATAGAAATAAGAATAAGAAATATTTACAGTGTGTGCATCATTCATCAGCCACTTTATTAGGTACACTGTGCTAGTACCAGGTTGGACCCCCTTTTTAATTCTTGGTGTCACAGATTCAACAAGGTGCTGGAAACATTCCTCAGAGATTTTGGTCCATATTGACACGATGACATCACACAGTTGCTGCAGATTTGTCGGCTGCACATCCATGATGAGAATCTCCCGTTCCAGCACATCCCAAAGGTGCTCTATTGGACTGAGATCTGGTGACTGTGGAGGTCATTGGAGTACAGTGAACTCATTGTCATGTTTGAGATGATGTGAGCTTTGTGACATGGTGCGTTATCCTGCTGGAAGTAGCCATCAGAAGATGGGTACACTGTGGTCATAAAGGGATGGACACGCTCAGCAACAATACTCAGGTAGGCTGTGGTGTTTAAACCATGCTCAGTTGGTACTAAGAAAATCTCCCCCACACCATTACACCACCAGCAGCAGCCTGAAGCGTTGATACAAGGCAGGATGGATCCATGCTTCCATCTGAATGTGGTTTTTCCAATCTTCTATTGTCCAGTTTTGGTGAGAAAACCCGTGTGAATTGTAGCCTCAGTTTCCTGTTGTTAGCTGACAGGAGTGGCACCTGGTGTGGTCTTCTGCTGCTGTAGCCCATCTGCTTCAAGGTTGGACAAGGTGTTGTTGCTTCAGAGATGCTCTTCTGCACACCTTGGTTGGAACCAGTGCTTATTTGACTTCCTGTTGCCTTTCTATCATCTTGAACCAGTCTGGCCATTCTCCTCTGACCTCTGGCATCAACAAGGCATTTTGGCTCACTGGATATTTTCTCTTTTTGGGACCATCCTCTGTAAACCCTAGAGATGGTCGTCTTCACCATGTCTACATGCCTAAATGGTGGAACAGGTGTACCTAATAAAGTGGCCAGTGAGTGTACATTCAAGTGATGATGGTAAGAATAAATTAGGCTCCTGACAGAATATTGCACAGTTGAATTATTGCGCAAGTTAAGACAGGTTTACAAAGAATTATTGTGCCTGATACATCCTGAAGAATATGAGAGATACTTTGAGAAAAATACAGCTAAAATACTTTCAAGTTTAATTTAACACTTATTTAATTTTAACACCAACATATTGAATGGAAGCCTGTTGTAGTAAACACTGGAGTAAACCTGCTGTTATCAGTGTTAGCATGCATTGCTAATATGGCTAATATTGCCCTCCGCTGATTGGCTGCCTCTCCAAAGCCCCTCCCCTACGTCGACACGTATTGTTGCTCGCCGATAATAAAAGATGGCGACCGGACCCGCGTAAATTGGAGATCCCGCAGAGGTAGTAAAATCTCATAAACACATTATTTCTTCTCTTCTTGGTGTTTATAATGAACACACGCTATCAGCCCAGAGGAGCTGAAGACCCGGGCAGAGTTAAATGCATGTTCGCCGCTTTATTTAGGCACCGGAGCCCACCGCGGCCTAGCTGTGGGCTGTAAGCCTCGGGCTTTCCTGGGTCACTGTGCCCGGAGAGCGGAGGGGAAGCTCAGGGAGACGCGCTCGGGTGCTGGGAATGTTGGGAAGCTAAGGAGTCAAAGTGAACGGAGAGGGGGTGTGTTTGTGTATCTTTATGAAAGTAGGCGGGAAGTTGTTTAGCTTTTATTATTGTACTCTTTAGTAGGTAACAGACCAAATTGTTACTGTGATATAACGCAGCTTTTCCTCATTTAGCAGCTAATGGTGGAGCGTTTCCTCACTTTGTCCAAGTTAAACATCTGCAGCTCCAGTGTTTCTTAGACAGCTGCAGCAGGAATAGTCATAGCAATTCAGTACATGTTTAGTTACCTTTGTTGATGTCTAGGTAACGTTACAAGATGTAAAACATGGCCAAATGTATTGTTGTGTAGCATTCAACTGCTCTGATATGTTGATGGACAGAATCATTCACTGTCTTATCTTGCATTTGATTTATTTCTTCCTGGTGTTCCCTTCACAGGTCAGTGTCCTGCCTTATGTTGTCAGTGACATACTGTGACAGATAACCGTGTTGACAGCGGAGGAGCCATGGCTTTTGAGGAGATCAAGAATAAAGGAGGGATGGGTAATGTCTGCCTTATAAACTACATGCAGCTTTTCCTGTCTTGCTACTCTACAGGCCTGTCAATCACATGTATATTTGCAGTCAGAAACACGATGCGAAATAGTGACAAAACCTTAAAGTGTAACTGCTGCTCCACACATTTGGTTGGGGGGGAAGAACACTACAAGAGGCCCATCACAGTAGAGGCTGTGTTACATGTTGTACTTTTAAAGGGACTTTCAGTAGGTTTACATGACATTAGAGAAAACTGTGTCAGTCCGACTAAAACCAGACTGATTAATAACATATTTCCTAAAATGTCAGACTGTTCCTTTAGTTAAAGGTCAAATGTTTTAGGGGGACTCTGTGGCATCTAGCAATCAGAACCGCTGAGTGCAACTAGCCGAGACGTCTCCTGGTTAGAATTCTTTCAGTGTTCATTTTATCAGGACCTGAATTATCCACAAAGGTCTCTTCCTCTCCAAAACAAATTGACCAGGTGATTAAAACCATTAAAAACACTGAATAAAGTAGTGTCACATTAGAAATCAGTGTCTCCTTGATGCTGTTTGGCATCTTGGTACCTGCTAATAGCCGCTCACCTTTTTTCTGTAGCTGTTTTTTTGCACAGAGATCACGCTATAGGGCCGCTACAAATTCTCTTCATTATGCCGCCTTTGCAGTTTTACACAGATCAAAACGACGGCAGCATCATGACACTCCAGTGTGTGATTGTAGAAAGCATGCTGGCATCACGGAAGCAAAAGAGGTGTGACATGTAAAACAGAAACGTCAGCCTGTAGTGTGACATAAAGTTACGTGTCGGCAGCGCTTTCTGACCAGTAACAATGGCATAACATGGTAATAACAATCATCTATTATCCCTGTTATATTGTGGCTGATCTCGTCCTCTGCTTGGAGGTTAAGAAGCTCCCAGGCCTCATTGTTTTCCCAAGTTGTGGACATTTTCAGCTGTTGTTCTTCTTAAAGTTAGCTGCTAACTGCTATCAGCTTCTTTTTAAATCACTTACTGTGAATTGCAGGCATAACACGTGACCAGAACGTCTCACTCATGCCACCAATGATCAGGTCCTGCCAGCTGTCCCATTTATACACACATCATTTTGGTGTTGTTATCACTTCCAGTGTTGGCTTTAAGGCGAAACAACTCTGTCCCTTCTCTCTAGGATTGTACCTTTTATACAGAACAGCGAGAGTTTTTAACTGGGAGCATATTACCCACAGAGGTCTCTACCTCTTCAAAACAAATGGATCCGATGATTTAAACTGGTAAAATCGCAGAAGAAAGTAGTTTCGCATTTAAGTAAAATCAGTATTTTTCCAACATTCTCATTGTGGGGGGGCTGCAAACTACGATGGCTGATGCGAAAACAAGATTGGCTCTGTCTAGAGCCAGAGTTTTGTTTGTTTGTCCTGAGCAACTTTAGAAACATGACGGGCAACGTGGCGATCTCTCTAGACAACAACCTGCTGCCTATGTAGATACAAATGGCTCATTCTAACGTAACGAAAA